TCGAAGGATCCCAAGACCTCTTTTGGCACATGTGCTTTGAGAGGGGGGCGGGTAAGTAGGGGTTCAACGGTCGATTGATTACCCATGATAGTGTGGCTACGTTTTTCAGCGTCCTTTTTTAAAGTCTTTAAGAGTCTCTTTCAACCACAGTCCTTTGAGTGCATATAAGTGAGAAGCAACCATTTTTGGATTAACCGAAATTCAGGATAATCGTTTTATCTGTTTTCATCGTATTATATCTCGGAAATCCTTTGCCTTCTTTCTTACTTGTCTGATAACCTTGCTTGACTAACTATTGCTACTAAATTTAAATTTGCTTTGCAAGAGTTGCTTTGCCTTGCATTTTTGTCGGCATCTTTTTAAGCCTGGACTGGGCAAAAGATTTTTGCGATCTTCACTTGCTACGAATTCACAATATCTATGCCGTTTTTAAACATCATATTTATTCCCTTGAACAGTGCAACGCGTATGTGTCTCGCTGATGTTGAAAGTTCTTCTTCTCCTAGCTAATCCAATAAAAGAAATCACCAACGTGCGATTTGAGAGAAACTTCCCACGCCCATGGATTAGTGATCACTCCGAAAAGCTTGGTTTTGAGCTGGACACGCGTCACCTTCAACAATTTTTAATAATCGTTTCAAAAAACGATTATTGCTTAACCTTGATGGGTGAATTTAGAATTTAGAACGCCACAGTTGACCATTTCTTCACACGATCCTCCCCATAGGAAATATCTTCCGGTTCCAACGCCGGTACACACTTTCGCGTTGAGACTCCTAGTATGCAAAACGTTGGAATTCTCGAGTTGCTTACTTCCTTAATAACATTTCGTCACTTTAAAACAAAGAAAGAGAAGATGCCTTGAAATCTTTCATTTCCAGTTTAAGCAAGTCAGCAATGCCTTGTCCAGTATACAGCGTCCACCTACTACTTCAGGTCGCATGGATAATGAAAGCCGAATAAGAGTTTTTTTCCATTCAGTGGAGTTAAACGTTAAAGCAAAAAAAGCACAGCTCACTGTGCTTGAAAAGTCATGCAATAGAGGCTGTTTCTTCAACAAAACAAAAACGTGCGAGTTGTTTAGCAACAATATGCTGCAAAACGAGTTGGAAGGTGAAGTTGCGCGGTTTATCACCCACGTTCAAACATGTCTTTCAACATAGTCCTGATGTTTCCCTCCACTTCGTCTCGGGAAACATCAGGACTCTCAAAAAAAACAAAACTACCTGTTTCCCTCGGGATCTGACATTGAGTGTATAATGGCTCTTTGGGATAATACAATCGATATTTAAAATTTTTCCTAAAAAGGTGCCTTAAAACGTCAAGGAAATATGGACACAGCTGCAAATGAGTACACACGAGTAACGTAACTCATCTGTACGTGTACAGATTGTGCAAAATAAAAGCTGAAATTCCTAACTAGTTACGATTAAAACTGGATGACAAGGGACGTGCGTTGACTGGTCCTTGATGTACTGGTCAGTGTTAACAGGACTGTCTTCCTTATTTTTGCAGGTATCTTTACTCCAACAAAATTGTCCAACTTTCGCCTGGGGCGTTTTGGAATCTCCCTAAGTTAGAATGGTTGTAAGTTTGAATTGTTGTATTTTTTCCTTTGCTAAGTAATGACCAAGATTAAAACACTAGACGTGTGTTAAGTATAACGAGTATCATAAATGTCGTAAATATGGACACAGCTACAAATGAGTACACACGAGTAACGTAACTCATCTGTACGTGTACAGGTTTTTACTGAACGGCTGCCGTGACATACACGCACTGTAGAGGTACTACACGAACAGATGGCAACAGTCGCTTTTTTATGAATAATATGACTAACAGCCTGAGAAAATTAAAAAAGTCATATTCTGAAAATACAGAATTTAGCTGTTGGTTATTCCCTTATCCATTGAGTGTCCAAGGGACAAGAATTGGAATCCAGCAAACATTTTTGGGAATTACTTCTATCTCTCTATCAGCGATCTCACTGTATTGTACAGTCAATGCTTTCTTCTTTGCTAAGTTAACAGAGAATTTTTTTTATATGATAAAGACTAAAACTCTTCGCGCAAGCAAACGCCTGACGCTGCACTCGTCTGACTGGTTTGCTTTCTGGCGATTGCTTTTCAACCGGCGGTCCCTGAAATTCTTGATAAGCCGGAAAGTCTCTAATCCTAGTCCTCTGGAGATGCGAAAATTGATGTGTATACCTCTCCATCACATTATATGATTTCAAAACCCATTAAACTGACGGCTTCCTGGCTTAAGTTCGCTGCTCTGCCTCGAAAACATCGAAAGCGTCTGTATGATGAGGAAAATTTTACCTGTAAATTTGTTGTGATGAGGCTCCCAGCTTTTGGGAGCCACGTGACAAGTCGCAAGCAGGGTTCTTCCTTAAATCAAGACAGAGAACCCTGGGAACGAGGTTGTTTTTGTGAGACCTGCCGAGCGGATAAAGATTAAAGGAGTTGCAGACCTGTACCTTTATGGCTACGAAAGCCATTTAGCAGAATTAGTTATTCTTAGCTTGATTCGATGTATGTAAAAGCAAACATTTCGTAGAGGGGTGCTCTTATTGTTTGCAAGTCAGGTCAGAATTATTTTTTCTTATACAGTATTTTACCTCTTGCAGTAAGACCCCGTTAATACGGCCAATTTTTTTTTGGCCCATTGGTGACCGTATTAATGGGGTTCCACTGTATATTTATTGCTTGCCTTTAAGGCAAATTTGCAAACGTGTTTTAGTGGTCACCTAATGGCGACATGCAAGGACACAAACTAATAATATATACATTATGCCGAACAGACGCTGTTTGCAGATAAATTCCGTAATTTTCCGCTCATGTTATTGCTATGGTTTTATGCAGAAGTTGGGCTTTTCATTCCTCGTAAAAGGAGTGAAAATTTCAGCCATTTTCTCCAGCTTTACAAAAACAACTGAGCTAAAGCAACCTTGTTCCCCGGGCGTCCCGGTTGCCGTCCTTTTTACTGGCGATAGCTTGTTCTATTGATGTTATTTTATTAAATATTGCAAAACGTCTCCCAGATTTGGTCAGCGCTAGCTGCTTATTGAGGATATGCCGTGGAGTTTGAGAGTGATCAGAAACGAAAAAAAAATAAATAAATAATAATGTATATTGTTCATTGCCTCCCTTTTTGGGTGATCCAAGTGCACGTTATACTTTTAGAATAGCGCACGCGCACACATGCCCATCCATGCAACCCCCCCCCCACCACCGCGCAAACAACGTTGGATGCGTGTATCTAGAATTTTTCCAAAAACATTTTCACCTCGTATGAGGAGTGGGAGTGGGAGAATTGCCAGCACTGTCGTGCGCGGGTCGCAATAGCAAACCCACACAGTGTTAGAGTTCTATCCGACGAAAATAACATCATCAAGCGCCGCGTCAGGAAGACCATTGAAAAGGCAAAGGCCGATTCGAGAAAACACACACGATGACCTCCACAAATGTTTTACCAACAACACGACTAGCAAAAGTGCGGAAAAAAATAAAAGATACAATACAGACAAACTACCTAAACACGACTGCAAAAACGAAATTCCAGAAAACGATAAGAAACAAAGGTTTGGGGTTCGGGGAACGGAGAAAAAACTACTGATACGGATAAACCAACACAAATAGACACGCAGAAAACTTTGCATAGAAAAGGGCGGGATAACAAACTATATACGACGAAATTTACATACAGTGCTTAAAAAAAAGAAGCATAATTTACAAAATACCAGAGTGAGACAAAGAGACGAAAAGAAAACAAGTTAACGAGTAAGTGCGGGTAAAAACGAAAACAAAAAGGAAAAATTTGCCACAACAACTTTGGGGCTTGGCTGAATTTAACTTAACATTCAGGAAAGTAAATAAGACAAAATGAACTTACGTCATTAAACAGCTCATTAGACCAAGTGTCCGCCGATTTGAAACGGGCCATTTTAATCAGTCTCTATAAAACTCCCAAGTTTCTATAAACACAGTTTTAAACGGCTTCCTCAAGCAAACACAGCTTAGAAATTGGTCTAGTTAGAGTACAGTTTTTCGTTTTCATCCCTGCTACTCGGACTTGCCGTCTCGTCAAATAAGAGTAGTAAATGAGTTTCCTCGAAGTCCGCACCAGAAGCCATTATTGATGACGTCATCGAGTATCCAGAAATGGTTATGGCCCGGACTGTTAACCATTTTTTTGTGGATTTAATTAACTTTGTCAGTGCCATAAATTAATGCCGATGACGTCATGCATCTCAGAAAGATAGGATGATGTCATAGTTTTGTTCAGCTGGCAAGGAGCAAGTGACATCAGAATACCCGAGGGGTTGACGTCCTCAACAAATGTTGACATCATAGTCTATAAATAGAAAAGTGATTATTTGGGTATGATATCATGGTTCTACAAAACAAAGACCTAAGACCTAAGACCTAAGACCTAAGACCTAAGACCCATAAACGAAGACCCAAAAACGAAGACCCTAAAACGAAGACTAGTTTTTTTTACAGGCCTATCAAACCAGAGCCAGTCAAGCCAGGTCAACGCTTTTCCTCAGGCACCAACTGACGGGAAACTAGTGGGGTCTTCGTTTTGTAGATTAAGCCGGGTCAAACTACAAAACGAAGACCCTCGCGTAAATGCTTTGTTCGTTGTCAACTGACGGGAAATGAATGGGGTCTTCGCTTTGTAGATTAAGCCGGGTCAAACTACAAAACGAAGACCCTCGCTTAAATGCTTTGTTCGTTGTCAACTGACGCGAAATGAATGGGGTCTTCGTTTTGTAGATTAAGCCGGGTCAAACTACAAAACGAAGACCCTCGCTTAAATGCTTTGTTAGATGTCAACTGACACGAAATGGGTTTTTGTACAATGTCGACAGTTTTTATCGGCTTATCCCCAATAGACCCCACTTCTTAACGGCAATTTGAAAACAATAACTTGAAAAGTAGAATAAGATAATGTAAATTGGTAACCTCTCTTTTGCACATTTCGTGTGTCGTTGGGTGCAGTTTATCAATTTCAACTTGATAAGGAAACTGCAGGTCAGGATTTAGCAGCATGAAGATAACCATACCATACGACCAAATATCACACGCTTTCAGTTGTTCCAGAGATAACGAAGTATCCACAGGCGAAAGCAATTCGGGAGCCATGTAAACGGGATTTCCTCTGTCAATGTTTGTGGTTTGCGTGGAACAAACTGTGGCCGTTTGGATCATACTTGCCCTACTCTCACCAAAGTCAACCAGTTTACAAATAATTGGCGCTTTCTCCCACGCTTCCCTTACAGCTTCTTTGTTTGGCATTTCGCAATACATCTGGTTAGAGACGAGGACATTTCCTGGCTTTAGATCTCGATGAGCAATGTTGTTGTCGTGAAGATACTTAAGACTGCGAGCTGTATCTTCTGCGATTTTATTGAATAACGGCGAGAAAGAATCCATGGCTCCATCTTCAGAGGAAAGAAAATTGATAAAGTCCTTGAGAGAGAAGACACGTCTTTCAAGTCCGCCGAATGGTGAAAAATCGAAGTAAACGAGTTCAAGCATCATCGCCAGAGGAGATTGGCAGACTGTATGAAGTTTTACGATGCGTTTATCATCTAAAGAATGAAGAATATTGGCTTCTTTATAGAAGAGACGGAGATTCCTTTCATGTTGCTCGAGGAGCTGTTTGACGACGATACTTTTGCCATTATATTTCGCGGTGATCACTGAACCGAAGCTGCCGCTTCCAATCACGTCCTTGTCTGGGGGGGGTGGGGGGGGGGTGATTTTGAAAAAACATTTCCTGCATGCCATATATATATGGGAAAAAAGGGAAAAAAATATCCTGCCCACCATATTGCTAGGAAAAAAAATTCTTGATGACCAGAAATCACCCACCCCCACCCTCAAGAGTTAAATGGTCGGCCCCTAAAGCAATATTAATACTTAACTAAGCTTACAGGCATGAATTACAAACTAGTAGTGAAAGATTATGAGAGTAAGTAAGTGATTAGTAAGTAAACACTTTATTTATAGAGGGTAACACTTAATAACTAAAAGCTAATAAACATGTTGCCCTCAAAAGTTAGAAAAACAATTACAGCATACAAATATGTAAAAACAAGACTATCTAATCTAATCACCGTTAATGCAATATAGAAACTTTAAAGACATGACTTAACTAGCCGACTTTCAACCTCTGTCCATCGCTAAAATCAACAGTCTTTATCAACAAGCAGGGTTTTACGGACAGATATATCGTTGTGTCAAATTTAAGAGCTCTCCTCTGTCTCCTGTATAAAATGTGATAAAATTTGCCGATACGTTGCGTGACGACGACAGATTCCACATACTCACTTTTTAGAACTAAACATCTTTACATTATCCTTCATATTTCTTGTTAAATATTCTCACATTAACTGTTAATGTTGAAGCGTAAAAGCAAATTTAAAAGCAAATTAATATCCTAAGACCCCATTGATTTCGCGTCAGTTGACAACGAACATAGCCTTTAAGCGAGGATCTTCGTTTTGTGGTTCGGGCCGGCCTTCTCTACAAAACCAAGACTTAATTGATTGATTTCGTGTCAGTTGACAACGAACAAAGCATTTAAGCGAGGGTCTTCGTTTTGTAGTATGACCCGGCTTAATCTACAAAACGAAGACCCCATTCATTTCGCGTCAGTTGACAACGAACAAAGCATTTACGCGAGGGTCTTCGTTTTGTAGTTTGACCCGGCTTAATCTACAAAACGAAGCCCCCACTAGTTTCGCGTCAGTTGGTGTCTGAGGAAAAGCGTTGACCTGGCTTGACTGGCTCTGGTTTGATAGGCCTGTAAAAAAAACTAGTCTTCGTTTTAGGGTCTTCGTTTATGGGTCTTAGGTCTTAGGTCTTAGGTCTTTGTTTTGTAGACACCCTTACTTTTACGTGCCATATTATTCTATTGTTTCGAAACAAACAATAGCGCTCCCATTCCAAGCGCGTGATTCACGAATTGTCTATTACTGGTCAATTTCTTACAAGATGGTGCCTAATATCGTTAAAGATTCAAGAGCTACACCTCTGCTTGCTATCGATGAAGTGGAACAAGTTCAACGGGAAAGGATAGTAAGTCTTATCGGCCATATGTTCAAACTGACTTATACCACCATGGTTAACGAACTAATTCAAGATAAAAAGCTGAATCGCTGTTACGGCTTTGCTATTCAGCACCCAAATCAAAGACAACGTTCGCGTCTTATAATGGATAAAGGCGATTCTTGGTTATATTACCGAGAAGATGGGGTGGAAAAAATGATCTAAATGTAGTCCTGAACAATGTTGAAAGTCTGCTCAATGCTCTCTTTAAGGAGGGGGGCATTGGGGTATATTAGAAACCGCGAAACCGAAGGAAAAAATCATCCAAAACCGCAAAACCGCAAAAAAATTCGGCCAAAACCGAAAACCGCATACAAAACCGTCAAAAACCGATACAATGGTGACAAGTAAGGCATACAGAGCAAACTAAACTAACACCAATTTCACCAAAGTATTTGTGAATGTCATGGACTTTGTCTGAAGCCTTCTTATCTTTTTGTGTCTGTTAAATCATAGGGTTTGTTTCTGCCGCTCTCTCGAGCCCAGACTTTGCGGCTCAATTTCCGAAAAGCCGCTAGCTATAGGAGAATTTTCACACAAGTCCTCTTTAGAATTGCAATTTTGCAGTCGCAAAAAGCTATAGCTCTGGAAACTTCAATCGAAAATCTCTAATCGAACATTTCCATTTGATAACTAACACCTGAAAGTTTGGAGACTCGATTGTCTAACGTGCAACGTGTTTGATTGCCCTGTGAACAGAGTCTCTGATCTTAACCTCTCTTCGATCTTCTACGCTTAGATATTGCGTATTCTCAATGTATTAGGACTATTAGGGACATTAAGTCTTCGTAAAGAAGCTTTATGTATGGGATAAACTATAGTGATTAAGCTATTGTAATGTAAATACAGTGAAACCTGCATTAAGCGGACACCCTCGGGGAATGCTGTAGTGTCCGCTTAATACAGGGTGTCCGCCTAATACAGGTTTCGATAGATAACGTCATATGAGATGTCAAATGCTATTCAAATGAACAGTGGAAATGTTAAGAATACTCCCAGAGACTTTGACGATATACGTTTGCATTAATTTCTTTATCAAAGTGGACCGATTGGTCATAGTACCATAGACATAGATTGCAACTCAAATTTGAAGAAATCAGATGAGTGAAACAAGCTCTATACAAACAAAACGAAATAGAAAAAAAATACTGTACTGTGGGACTAATCAAATAAGTTCGTCAAGTAACGTTTTTTAATGTAAAAATCGAAAAAGTTGTGGGTGGCAATTGGAGGTAATCTTTCGCATTTCCGGTGTCTGGCATGTTGGGTAGTGGAATTTGATTACAAGTGTCCGTTTAATACAGGTTGGTAACAATAGAAATGACTATTTCACGTACTTTTTGGGTGTCCGCGTCCGCTTAATAGAGGTGTCCGCTTAATAAAGGTTTCATTTAAAGTAAATAACGGAAATAAATTTTGGGACTTCGTCTACTGTCCGCTTAATAGAGGGTGTCCGCTTAATATAGGTTTCACTGTATAATGACATTAATGATTGTCGATTGACTTACGAAACATTAAGCTTCTGCAGGCTTGTCTCTTCCCTTTTCACTTTACATCGAAACTTGTCTTTCTTTCGAAAATTCTCGCCGCCTTTTCCCTCCTCGTAAAAAAACGCAACACAATCCACAATTGCTTCTTCCGTTGCTGGCGCGGGAGGTACGCATTCCTCTAAATAACTTTGGCGTTTCGCGGCTATTCGAGATCAAGTGCTGCTCAAATCGAACAGAAACCCGAACCCAAAATAGGACAAAATAGGAAAAACCAAAAACCACATCGGGTACCAAAACCGAAAAACCGCTAGTGTTTTTCACGAAAACCGAAAACCAGATGCTAAAAAACGAAAAATCCGCAAACCGCAATGACCACCAAAACGGAAAAACCGAAGTCTTTTGCAACAAAAACCGAAAAACCGATCTAAAAAATAGCCAAAACCGCAAAACCGAAAATCCCAATGTCCCCCTCTTTAAGCTTCAGTAGTCAATCGTGGGAAAAGTACGTCAGTGAGCTACCAAAGATGCCTTGAACCACTATCAAAAGACGAAGAAGCGATGGAAATTGACTCTGTTTTTAATGTTTGTAAAAGTAATAAAGTGAGTTCATAACTTGACTTTGAGTCAGTGTGTGTTTGTCTTTATCAGTCTTAGTACTATACTGTATAGGATAAGGAATAAAATATCTAGAATGGAAAAATATGTGGCTGTGTTATTCGGGAGATGGTTTAGATTTACTCAGCGTGAATGCCAGTGATTGGTGTGATTCGAAGTTAACTCAATGTTGGCCAGCTTCGATATGAAGTACCGTTGGCGTTCTTAAAGGAAAAAATTGTTCCCACCGCGGTCTGCTTTGCTAGCAATCGGCTGCTGTTGTCTGATCCTGGGTCTGCCACGGTTCTGGAATCTCAATTCCACTGTCTCTACTGATGTTGTTATCGTGGAGGTTTAAGAGCGAATGCACAGAAAAATCGAGCAAACCGTGGCCACAGCTCAAAGCCTAACCTACGCTCATTTTAAGTCCGTAATAAGGTTTTAATGAATTTATAACACTGCTGAGGTTTAAATTTCAAAATGCGGCCGAATTTGGGAATTACTTGAGATTTTCGATTTCAACGGTCTGCGGGCCTAAAATTAGCCGCCGAACACGGCAATATAACCTAGCGACAGAAATGAGCTGACTTTCATAAACGAGCGAATATATTGGCAATCTTCCACTTAAATCTCAAAAAAGATATGGTAACAATTTCTAAACAGCACATTTTTTTAGATTTAGAGAATAAAATATCGACGAACGAGCACAATTTTTAAACATAATTTGCATAACGCTTTTAAATACAACAGTTTACCGCTAAAACCAAAATCAAAACCAAAAATTTCTATATGGGGGAATTCTCCAAATCACCCCAAATCCCGCTTACTACCCAATGAGATATAGTACTTCAACGTTATCTGAAAGTTAGTCTGGTGTTCTTGCGAACGCTTGTAAATTAGATTGATTATTTTGAGGTTATTTTGCCCCAAACAACCGCTAAGGGAAAGTTCATTTAATATGACAAGGGGGGGGGGATGAAGATATTGAGGGGGCTCCGAAAATTTTTAGACACCCGAAGGGATGGCTCTGAAAAAATTGTTGCGCTAGGAGGGGGGGCTCCGAAAATTTGTATACTTCAAAACCAACACATGATATCATCATACAGATCGGATGGTTTTCAACTCAACAATCTAATGACCAGTGCAACTCAGCTATATCACGTGGTTTACAGATATAACAAATGTAGTCTCAGTAATTATTACACTCTTGGTCATCCCAAAAATGCTTTAGAAAATTGTATCACAACTGTATCTCAAGTTTGTTATAGTATAAACCATTGAAGAATAACGGTAAATATATTTAATACAGTCTAGCGATCTTTTTTCAGGGGAGCAAAGGAATTGAAGGAGGAGGGGGGCTCTGAATTTTTTTCGACTACCAAGGAGGGGCTCCTAAAAAATTGAACCGCTAGCGAGGCGGGCTGCTAAAATTTCAAGCTTCGAGTTTCAATATCTTCATCTCCCCCGCCCCTTGTCATATTAAATGAACTTTCCCTAATTGACCCCAGGGTCAGTTGACAAGTGCACGTCACCTTAGTTTTA